ACTTTAACCTTACCTTTTGGTTCTAATTCAATCCTATTATATGTTTTTAAAAGAAGTAAAACATTAAAAGTGGAGCCGAAGCCCTCTCCCAAAGTTCATCCCTCCTGGAAGTCAGCTACGGTCCATCCTCCTTGCTCTTTATCATTCCTGTGCATGACTTTACAGCCTTGTATGTTCCAGGCAGACACCACAACATACAGAGCAGGCAAACGGCCAGCCTGCGTGCTAACGTTCTGCTCTGTTTTGTTCCACACCTTGCTCTGTGAGCTCACCGCTGTGCTTTCGATGCATGTGGCCCCAGTTCTGACATTCTCGCTGCTGTTTATAGCACACAGTGTATTATATAAGTACGCCACAATCTGGAGACCGAGTCTTCTGGTGATAGACACTATTTCCAGTTTTTTGCTCCCTCAGACAAGACCTCAGTACATATTCTAGTGCCCATTTGTGTCCCCAGAAGCAAAGCATTGCCAAGGTGAAGGACCTTCCCCTGGCTCCCCAATGCAGGACCCTAAATCAAAGGCTCTGTCCTGGAGTATCTCTTTGCCTTGTGTTCTTTTTGTTGTTGTTGTTGTTGTTGTTTTTCCCTCCAAGTTCTGCAAACTGAGAAGTCCAAGATCACAATGCCAGTAGGTTCTGTGTCCGATGAATCAGCTTCCTGGTTCATAGAAGGCCTTCTCTTCCCTGTGTTCTCACATGGCAAGAGCTGCCTTGTGTTCTTGCTGTACCAAACTCATGCATCAAACCAATCACATGTCTGGAACAGTCTACCTCTTTCTTTGCCACTCTTAATCTTCTTGACTTAACTGGATGTTTCCTGTTCATGCCTGGTTTCTACCTGAAATGTCACTCTACCAGGAGATCTCTCTGATCCTGAGGCCACAGCTGTATGCTTTCCCCATCTGTCTCCCATCAAGACATTCATGCCCTATTTAATGACCATCTTCTTTATGGGTGTGAGCTCCAACAAGGCAGGGCCACCTTTGTCCATTCACTGCCATATTCCCAAAGGCCTAACTCAATAGACTTAGGGAATGAGTGAAAGAATGGATGGAATGACACATTTTCATTTCTTATTTCCATCAGCACTTTTTTTCTAACTTTATATTGAAGTATAACTTATAAGAATTTTGGCAACCAAGATATAGAATAATTCCATCTTTCCCCAGAATTCCCTCATGCCCCTTTGTAGTCAAGTCCTGCTCCTCACCCCTAACAACCACTGATCTGTTTTCTGTCCCTATAGTTTTACCTTTTCCAGAATGTCATCTCAATGGTATCATATATGATATAGCCTTTGAGTCTACCACCAGCATCTCAGTCTTGGGCCAGGTATTGTGGAACAAATAGTAATAAGTCATGAGGTGATTTGTGTTGAATGTAAGGAACCTTTATATAAACACATACATTTAATAACTGCTCTTTTTCTTAACATCAAATTTAGATTGTGTTTCATAGCAACAACTCTGTGAAAGGCTAGTTCCTCAGTACAATGCTGTCTGCATTTTTCAGTCACGAAAACCTGAGTGTTCCAAGAAGTGAAGAATCCAATTCAAGTTAACCTAACTGGCTCGTAAGGTAGCTTTCATCTCCAAGTTCAGTGTGTTAATGCCAAGCCCAGGATTCCTCGTTTTCCTTCTTAATTATTTTTAAGCACATGTTGGGAAGTAAAGCCTTATTCTTTAAAAAAAAAAAAAAAAAAAAAAATTATTGTTTTGAAAAGAAAAAAAGTAGAATTTCTTCTTTTCTGTTAAGTTAGGTTTCTTGTCTGTGGTGATGGTGAGTCAGACGAGCAAACACCAGTCTTCCCAGACCCAGGAGCCTGGCCACCTTGCCAGGGGCTGTGGGAGCTCATTAATGGGTTTGGTTTTGTAGTGCCAGTCCTGCCTCAGGAGCTGTGTGCTTACTAGAAATAGCTTTCTAAAGAATGACCCTTCCCGTGATGCTCTGGGCATGTGGATTCCTTGGTATCTCCAATGGATGTTTGCTGTTTTAATCTGTCTGTGCCTATCCAAAACTGTGGCCCAGACTCTGCTTCCTGTGACCTGCACCAGCGTCTGTGGGCACGTGTATCTGTCGGTGAGTAATTGTCCCCTAGAAAGCTCACTCGGCTTCAAGTTGTCTGTTACATTTTAGACACAGACTCAGAATGGAGGTGCAGACACAAGATGGCCCGGTACATTTCAAGGCCCACGTGAGGTTTTGATCTTGGGCGTTTGCCTTTGTCTGTAGCCACAAGCCGGTCACATGTGGTGAGTGCTCTGTTCTCTTAAGGGTTCTTTATGGCAAAAAAAAAAATGCATGTGAACAGCTTGCAGAGAAGCCTCGGAGAGGGGAATGCACCGCCGCTTGAGTTATTCAGGGAGCTCTGCCTCAGCCCACGCTCAGAACAAAACAGGGGAGAGCACTAGGGCAGTGGCACCATGCTGTTTGTTAGCCAGGCAGCCATGGTTTTGACCTTGCTGTGGGTTAAAGGACACAAACCTGAGAAGAAATCTGTTTATCATGTGGGGAATTCATGCCATCCTTGACAGTATACAGTGAGCAAGATGGATGATCTGCCAAATTGGTCCCTCGCATGGGTGAATCGGGGCAAATTTACAGTACAATTCCTTTGCTGCTTCAGATACAAAAATAACATTTGCTGGGTTTTATATCCAGTTGTCTGATGACCTGGAGGTGAGCAGAGAGAAGAAATCCGATTTGTAGGATTCATATTGCCTTAAAGATTTATATGGACCATTTCTGCCGTTATGTCTGCCTCTTTTACATCTTTCATAAGCCAGTGTTGTTGTTTTTTAACCTGATTTTCCAGGTTGAGGACATAGGTTTATGCGCTGGTGGAATTCCGTACGATTCTAGGACAATAAACGGGTTTGTTGGTTGAATTGCAGTTGTTTTATTTGGGATTTTATCTTTCTAAGTATTTATAGAAAATATCCCTTGTATTTAGGATACATTTTCTATTTTCTTGGGTTCAAACTAGGTTATTATTCTGTATATAATATGTCTATCAAAGGATTCTCCAGTTATATGATCAACTGTAATTTATTTATGGCTTAGTGTTACATTTTGTTTAGTGAGGTAGCGAGTATTTGGGGGGCACCTATATGTGCTGACGTTCACTGAGTGCTGATGTTCATCTCTCTGAGGCCGTAGCACCCACATGACAATGTCCAGCCTTCCCCATCCAACATGGCTCCGTGGGGTCTCACCATGTGCCATGCTCCGTGGGGTGGGGGAAGAGAAAGCGCCAAAACATGGGGCTAAAGGCAGATTTTACCTTATGGATAAAACAGCAATGCAATGTTGCTTTGTATTTGCCACCTGGACAGTCTTTCTCTATATTTGAAAACTAGAGGCCCAGTGCATAAAAACTCATCCACTGGATGGCAGGGGGGTGGGGGGGACGGCTCAGCCCAGCCAGCCCCCTCTCACAATCCAGGAGCCCTCAGGGATGGGAGGCAACCCTGTGATCAGGGCAAGGCAATGCCCCCATCACACCTCTGCTGCTGCCATTGCCAGCAGCACAAGCCTCAGCCTGCCCTGGTTACCTGAGCCTCGGCTTGCCTGCACCTCAGGCGTTGACTGCGCAGCCGCCATCCATGGCTGGCCCGGGTGGGGGGGAGGGGGAGGAGGGGATTGGAGGACACCAGAGGTAGGCACATGGAGCAGCCGGACCTGCCTGGGGGCGGGCCCGGCTATGCCACAAGTCTGCCACTCTGGTGGGGCTGAGGGGACTAGGCGCCACCATCTTTAAGGATGTGGCAGTCAATTAGCATATTCCCTCCTTATTGGCTATGGGCACCGCCATCTTAGTGAGGGCATGCTGGTTAATTAGCATATTCCCTCTTTATTAGATAGGGTTAGGAAATGGCCAAACCTTTTATTCCAGACATCGAGAATAGACGCCTGGTTTAATGGGTGATTCTAACAGAGAAGCCAGAAGGGACCACCCTCCACAGAGCATGAGTTGACACTCCCTATTGGGCACATGCAAAAACAAGAGAGAGGTCCTCTTCAGGAAAGGAACGCATGACCCCATCTTTCCTGGTATCCGTTGTCAATGTGGCACAAAGCTTGGTTTTCAGAAATACCTCCGATGGTTTGACAGGAAACGGCAGGGGAGAGGGCTCCTCTTCTGTCATTTCGCTGGGTGCCTGGAGCCTTCTGGGATTATAGTGAGAACCAGCCTTGGTTCCTGAGACTCAGCCCTGGGCTGCCAAGTGCCAGCTAGGGCTTTAGGTCTCTTTATCGAGGGTCATCACTGTGGTGGCCACACACCATGGCAGCCCTTATTTAAAATAATACATCCATTTGATTTGTTCTGGAAATTATGGACAAAATTAGTATGTGAATCACAATCTAGGTAAAGTACTTCTGAATTACAGAATTACTAGAGGCATGTGCCCTGGCTAGGAATCAAACCATAACCTCCTGGTTCATAGATCAACACTCAACCACTGAGCCACACCAGTGGGGCAATATAACTTTTTTTTTTTTTTTTAACAGATTGGCCCTTGTACTAAGTCATCAGAAACCTTTTATTTAAACCTATTGTTGTTCTTCTATTGCTATTATTCTTTTTAAATATGTGTTTATTGATTTTAGAGAGATGGAAAAGAAGAGGGAGAGAGAAAGAAATATCCATGAGAGAGAAACATCAATTAGCCTCTTCCTGCACAACCCCTACTGGGTATTGACCCTGCAACCCAGGCATATGCCCTGGCCAGGCATTGAACCGGCAACCTCTTGGTGCAGAGGATGAAGCTCAACCAACTAAGCCATACTGACCGGGCTAATTTTTTTTTTTAATACCAAAAATGAGTGGTTACTCTCAGTCAAAAAAAAACTATAAGACAATTAAAGTAGACTCATAGACTGCCATGCTGTATCCTTCTTATACCAGCCATTTACTTACTGTCCTAGGTAAGGAAAGTAGATGTACATGGTGAAAGATGGAGGTTTCAGCCTCAAATTTCTGTGTGCTTTAATTACAGAAAGCACACCAAAGACGTCTGCCAGCTGCAGCCCTGCACCAGAATCACCAATGAGCTCAAGTGAATCGGTGAAGAGTTTGACTGAACTGGTCCAGCAGCCCTGTCCCCCCATTGAAACAAGCAAGGATGGCAAACCACCAGAACCCAGCGACCCGCCTGCTTCCGACTCCCAGCCCACCACCCCACTGCCTCTCTCTGGACACTCGGCCCTCAGCATTCAAGAGTTGGTAGCCATGTCTCCAGAGCTGGACACCTACGGTATAACCAAGAGGGTCAAGGAGGTGCTGACTGACAACAACCTTGGTAAGTTCCCTCCAGAGCTGCTATTCCAGAGGTGGCAGGTCGCTTCCTGTGGAGTTCTTAGGTCCCAGGGGCCTCTGGCTGAGGCAGCCAGAGGTTTTAACTGTTTACAAAACGTCCCTCTGTTGTGAACACTTAAGGGGCTCATAAGGGGGCTAGAGGTCTCCAGGTCGATCCCAGCTGTGCCCACTCTGGGACCTCTTAAAAGATATGCATTTAGGGTTGCAGCCTACTCAGACCGTCCACTCCAGCCACCCTGACTGTAGCGTGCCCAGTAGGGCTCTAAACCTCTTGGGCACAGAGCTGGGCAGGATCAGCATCAGCCCAGCAGCATCCGGCACAGTGGAAGGGTCTGACAGACTGGATTCAAACCCCAACTCTCCTTACTGTCTGTGTTACTGAGCAAGCTACTCTCTGAGGCTCCTCAATAAAACTGGAACAACAATGCCTACCATGGGCTGTGAGTAGCAGCCTTGCTAGCACTGCCTGGCATTCCTCGGCCTCATGAAGCTGCTTCCATTCCGCAGCCCCTTCCCCCACGCCTCTTGTGCTCTGTTTGAGGGGGCTCTCACTGAGGGCTTATGGCACCACTCATCAAATGGCTGCAGCTAGAATATTAGGTGTTCAGTCATTTCAAAACACTGTGCTCCTGCAGGATAGTATTGGACCAAGTGGGGTTCTAGTTTAGGCATCCAGAGAATGGAATCAGCCACTCCCAAACACATAGCCTTATTACCCGGGAGTAAAGTCAATTAAAAGAGCATTGTTTTCAGACAAAATTTCCGGTTCCTATGTCGTATATGAAAATTAATACCCTTTAATTTTTAAATGTTTTTAACCAAGATTTACTTATAATTAAATTATGAGGTTAAAAAAAAAAGCCTTGTTCTCTTTCGTGCATGTTAAAATGACACCAGAGAGTTTTTGGAATTTGCCCAGTTCCTTCAGGAGGGACCTGTGTATCTGTTTTCCCCAGGGGACAGGAAAAGAAGGGAGTAGCAGTGAAGTGCGTTCCAGGAAAGTTTGCACAGTGACCTCACAGCCTGGGGATGAGGCCAGTTTGTCTGTTTGAAGCCTTCCACTTAACTGCTTGTGCAAAACAGCACAAGAGAAAAGTAATATCCGCTGAGAACATTTTTAATTAATTCATTAAAATAAAGACTTAGCTGTTGACTTTAAAATGGCTAATTCCCCTATGACCATCAATTAGTAAAATGTGCAGGGATCCCTAGACTTGTCATCCCCTACCTTACAGTCTTATGACACATCCAAGGAAGTGGACCTGATATAGTATTGCTGTTCCTTTCCTTATAGGAAGTATCATTTTATATAAATGTTGAAAATCAGCTGAAGAAAACTCTCCTTTTCTAAACTGATAAGTTGCAAGTTCACAGTTATGAGATTTTGATCCTTAAAATCTCATCCTAAGCCTTACCATTCATGTCCCCATCGGCGATGGAGTCGTAGCGATGATGTTCATGTGCAGACATAGCAGAAACCCACTGGTTTCTGGAACTTTGTTTCAAATACCGTGAAACACGAATCGGTGCTCTGAGCGGTGAGACTTTTGACTCCAGACAGATAACTTATGCCTCTGAGCAGGAACCGCCAAAAGGCTCCATAGCAGTGTCACCCTGCTCTCAAAGGTCTCCGCTTCTCCAGGAAAGGTGCTGCCTCAGCTATGGGCATCTCTCAGTGGATTAATGAACACAGAGGGGGCCAAATTCCAGAGGAACTAGACGGCACAGATGGCTCTTAATTGAGACTCAACTAAGGCAGTGTCTTAATCTTTGGGATCTTGGGGTATTTGTGCATCAATCTCTTGAAATCATATGCAGAATAGGTACATGCACATTTCATCAGGTGAAGGTCTGTAGCTTTCTTCAGGTTCTCAAATAGATCTGGGACCCAAAATGATTGGGAGTCACTACTGTGAAACCTCTAGAGGTAATACCATTTTCTCAGATTTTCCTCCCATACAAGTAGGTGGATCAGCAAATAGCAAATAGCTATTTATGTATGTCACTTTCCTGAACATAGTAAGCTTCTTAGAACGAAATAAGATCCATTTGCCAAATTAGAATGAGGTAAAACTTAAACAACCACAACAAAAAATGGCTAAAAACTTGGTAGGCTAAACTAAGAATTTGAAAAGCAGAGAAGCCACAAGTTTACAGACTCAGTAAATGCCTCTAAGGCAGCACTCTGCCATTTCTCACAGCTGCCCCGTGAGCACAGTGACAGTGCTTCCCTGTCACAGACGGAGGGCGTGAGGGACGGGAGCAGTAGCCAGGCATCCACAGTCACCCCAGGAATTGTGTTCCATGCACTTCATGGTACCAAACACTGGCCTCTCTGAGTCCAGTCTCCACTTCTTCCTCATAAGTCCTGTTCATTGAAGTTGTTCAGGATGTGCCTGGTTCTCATTTGTACCTTTAAAAGTGGTGGCCCCTCTTAACCTGCAGCTCAATGGCCCTCACAGCGTTCTCCAGAGCAGTGTGCCCTCTGAGAAGCCTGGGAGCAGGCTGCCCACCACGGCCCCGGGGAAGAGGCGTCACGAAAAGGCGCTTTGAGCTCCCGTGGGCAGAGGCAGCTTAGACGGCAGGAATGGACTTTCGGATTGGAAATGGCCTGCTTTTCAGAAAAGCATAGCTGAGGAGCTCTTTCTCCTTCTCTTTCCTGCTGTGACTTTGGGTCAAGTGGCCTGTTTTCTCAGCAAGACCTGATAACCTTGAAAATCATGAAAGAAGCTGGTGCAGGCGGCCCTATGGTTTGAGGTTGTACAAGAGAGATCTCCCTGTGTGCTACTTAACCTCCTGAGCTCAGGTTTGGGACTAACCACCTCTGATAAATGCAGCAGGTGTCACTATCCAGGCCTCAGTTCATCCAGACCCTGAAGGCTTGACAGAAACGTTGTTGTGTAAGCAGAATGCAGGAGTAAAACTGACTGTCTCCAGGGGAGTTTGTCACAAGCCTGGCTGAAGAAATGCATTACAGAGTGCTTGCTCTGAGCCAGGACCCAGCTGACCAGACTCTGGGCCTTTAAACCCCATGTCTGATTACAACCTCGACACGTACTTCCAAGACCCGAGGTCTCAATGATGACATCACTCTTGGTTCTATTTTCTCTTTAGGTCAGCGCTTATTTGGGGAGACCATCTTAGGGCTCACCCAAGGCTCTGTCTCCGACCTCCTCGCTCGCCCGAAGCCCTGGCACAAGCTCAGTCTGAAGGGCCGGGAGCCCTTTGTCCGCATGCAGCTCTGGCTGAATGACCCCAACAACGTGGAGAAGCTGATGGACATGAAACGGATGGAAAAGAAAGGTAACTGCCCAGCCAGTTGCTTTCGCATTTCTAAGCGTACTGTTTCTTTTAAAGCCTTCAGCAGAGCTGATGAGGAACATGGATCTATAACCAAGGGGCTATGAGGCAGGGCAAAGGATTTTTTACCGACATCCACCAAGGATGGGAAGATTTGTGTCATTTTCTACATGTCAGCCTAAACTCAAGGGCATTTTAGCACCAGGGAGCATTTTGACCATTCCTGATGGTCACCCTGGTGGTCAGTGTATCCTTTTTCTTCCTTCGGGAGAGTAAGGCCACCAAGAAATGTGTACCACAGCGCTTCGTGGTGGCTTGTGTTTGTTGTCTTTTATCTTGTTAGGTGAGTGCAGTATTACATTTATTGCACATGCACCACATGCTAGGGACTTCCATATATTATCTTACTGGAGAGAGCATTAATCCGTGCTTTTGTAGATAAATACACTCAGGTTCAAAGAAGTTAGGTGCCTGGAAAATGGCAGAGCAAATTCCTGCCAGACAGCGCTCCTGCTCTGAGGGGCGCCCCTAGAGGGCTCTGCGCAGCACTTCCCTCCGGCTCAGTGTCCGGCATTCTCCTTGTTCCTGGAGGCTACACCATGGGATAAATCCTAAAGGATTTCCTTGGTGATGGAAAGTTATCCCTATTCCATCTCATGGTTTGCACTCCTACATGCTGCTTCTCATTAGTGAGTCCTCCCTTCAGAGGGGACAGTCCTGGGTCACTGACCTGCAGTATGAGCTCACTCGGTGGCTGAATTCAAATCCCTTAGATGTGGAGATCCGGTACAGCTGCTGGCCTGGCCATAAGAAACTGTGACAGCCCTCCTTAAATCAGCCTTTGCTGAGAAGCTCATCCGGAGAGTAGGCATGACAACCACCAATGTGGCTGTCCCTGGCCCCAACCCCAGCTCATCTGAGCCCAGGTTTATATCCTATGAATTCACCAAGGGAGGCTGCTGTTCACCACCAGCCCAGCATCACCGTCTCATCCCTCCAGGGAAGGACTGGAGCTCCAGAGAGGAGCGAGGGTCTCTGATGCCTCCCCCAGGAGCTTGTGGGGCTGGCTGCTGTATCACATAGACTCCAGTTCCTGAGCACTTATTCCACACAGCTCCATCCCTTATAGATGGTGTCATCCAGAAAGATGAGTCTCTGGAATCATGAAACTTATATGATTTCAAGAGCTGGTATAAGTAAGGAGCAGGAATCCAAACTCATTCAAAGCTGCTGCTTTCAGCTGTATGCGCTCTGCCTTGAGCTGAGTGCCGCCACACTGGGACTGTGTGCCCAGGCGGCCCTCCACCCCACAGGGGGGGCCCTCCAGTGGGCTCCTGCCCACCCTCGGGTGTGTAGACCAAGGCTCTGACACAGGCCACAATCTCTCAGGCAGCTCTAGATCAGGGTTGTCAACCTTTCAGACCTCAAGGACCACCAGCGGTCCACAGACACCAGCTTACAATCACTGCTCTAGGCAGTGCTACAACCTCCAGAGGCCTGGTGCCACATCACCACCCAAGTTTTTAAAATTTATTTAAATTACAGGAAATTTCAAATACAAAAACAGAGAATGATACCATGAATCCAATATATCCATTACCAAGTTTCAGCAATTATCAGTGCTCACCCAAGCAATTTAAAATTTCCTGCCCTCAGGAAATACACTCCTTGATGTATTTCTCCTCCTGGACCAGTGGAAGAGGGCCTTAGCCCCCGGAAATAAATATGGGGGGCGGAGGGAGGGTCCTTCAATCCCTTTCAACATGGGCTCTGGGCGCCATCTTGTGTTACAAAAGAGTTTCTGTTTCAGTGGGGCCCCTCCTCACATCCCAAGATCCCTGAGCACTGAGCCCCACTGTCTGCTCTCCCTAGTAGAGATGCTCACTAGATAAACCTTCACCAGCCCCAGTGGGATACCAAGGCACCTGTCCCATCAGTACTTCCTGTGACTTCCCACCCAACAGAATGGGGCTGGTGGGACAGGTCCGGCTCATTTCTTTCTGGCCTCTTAACTCTGTCATATCAACGGGGGTGAGGAAGTGAGGAAAAGAGATTGGCCTTCTCAGTTGTTTCCTAATTCTAATCATAAATGGCAAGTTAAGTAGCCTAAGTTTCGGCATCTGTTAAATAAGGGTAAAAATGTTAACCTTTTCAGGTGTAAGGATTAAAAAAGGATGCACCCAGTATAATAAGCAGCACACATAAGTGCTCAGTAAGTGATAGTTACTAAGTATCCCTTCCAAATCAATGAAAATAAGTTGTGCTACCAGGCTAGCCTAGGTAAAAAGTCTGCACCAGGTAACCACACTAGGATTAACATGGACACGATGCTTCCTTCTCTTTCATAAAGCCCTTCTCCCTTTACACAAATCCTTTATTGCTCTTTCTTCCTTCTAAACCTTTCTCTACCCCAGTCTGCCTTCTGCTTTTTGTTACCTTCATGAGATGGCCCTTCTCCCAACACAGTCACAGCACCTAGACACACATGTATATGCAGCCTCTGCCAGCTCATGGGTGAGACTTCTCTCCCTGGAGGCCACAGATGCACCGTGACAGTCCATACTCTACTTCTGTGGCTCCCATGGACACAGTCTCGGACCCTGCTCCCATGCTGTGGCCAGACGCAGCCACCACTGGGAAGGGCAGCCAGTGCTGCCCAGAACAGTCATCAGTTCTGTCACTTCCTACTGTGTGACCTCAGCCTCTGTACAAAGGGGTGATAATAGCTCCTCCCCTTGTAGGACTGAGTATTAATGATAAATGTTAGCTGTGCTGATGATACTGCCACAAAGAATACTACGTGCCATTTGAATTAAATATTTCTCATCTTCCATCAGTTTTAAGAAGTTTCAAAGACTTTTCAGACCATATTTCAAACTAGTTCACTAGAAAGATCACTATGGAGGATTCATTTGCTCAAGAAGCTTAGTAGTTAGTGACGAATAACAATCAGAGAATGAAGCACAGACAACACTAATAAAACCCCGAGAACCTAAAAACCAGGGAGCGTCTTCCATTTATCTCACAGTCCATGTGGCACATCCCCAAGTGACAGTCACACTCTTAAGTCCTTGAGCCTTGCAGCCAGCCCACTCCCCACTGCTCCTCCTAAGCCGTATCCCACAGCAAAACAAACATCTGCATATGTACTCCCCTCATTTCCAGCTCCTGTGCCATTCTCCTCTCTTCCAGAGCAGGCCACATCTCCCCAAGCTCTGAGCCTATGCCAGCCACTTCTCCACTCCTGGGTTGGCTCCTCCCTCCTCAAAGCTCATTCCAGCAGGCTTTACGTCCCCTTCTCATCATCATCTACCAGCTTCCTGCTCACTCGCTCTGCTTCCTCAAGACTGTGGCCCGGGATCACTGTCTTCCTCCATGTTCACATCCTACCTCGCCCAGGGAGATTTTCTGACCCATCGGACCCATACATCACTTGGCCCTGATGTTTTTTGACCTCTTCAACCCTTGACTGTTCCTCACATTTTGTTATCACCCATTACTCTATCTCTCAAAATCTAAATTCAGGTATCCCACTCACTGACCACATGCTACCTTCCTTCCATCTTTCCATGTTTCTCTGTTCATTCCACCTTACCCAAGACGGCCCCAGACATCCTCTGCCCATCTCTCCAGCCTTCTGTCTGACAGCTCCTCCTACATGACTGCCCCTTTTGCGTGCACACACACACACACACACACACACACACACACACACACTTTAACCATGCTGTTGTGTAGCTCTGTGTCTCTGCTCATGTTCTTCCCACTTTATGAGCAGACTCCTACTTATCCTTCTTTGTCCTTCAAGATTCAGTTAAACATCATCTCCAGGGAAGCCTTCCCTGACCTCTTCTCAGGCTGACCTGAGTTAAGTTCCCTCGGTGCCTTCCACTAAACTAGTCATACAGGGACTGACAGGAACCTCCCGTCATAACAGAGCAGGTCCTTGATGGATGTGTTAGGTTTCAGAATGGTTCCAGTTCAAGTGTTTTAAGATGTTCTTGTGAGAGGAGAGCAGATCAACCTGATGCCACAGCCCACACAAAAGTAATATCAATCAACCCTGGCCAGGTGGCTCAGTTGGTTGGAATGTCATCCTGTACACCAAAGGGTGGCAGGTTCTCTTCCTGGTCAGGGCACATATGTAGGTTGCAGGTTTGATTCCCAGTTGGGACACATAGGAGAGGCAACTGATCCATGTTTCTCTCTCATGTCAATGTTTCTCTCTCACTCTCTCCCCCTTCTTCTCTAAAATCAATAAAAACATATCCTCTAGTAAGGATTTTTAAAAAGTGATCTCAATCCAATTGTATAATATACCATATATTGTACTATGAGGGTCGGGGCTTGGGCAGATGTCACATCTGGGCCTGCCCCTCATTCTGACTTCTCTCCCTTCCCCAGCGTACATGAAGCGGCGGCACAGCTCAGTCAGCGACAGCCAGCCCTGCGAGCCACCCTCCGTTGGCATTGACTATAGCCAAGGCGCAAGCCCCCAGCCCCAGCACCAGCTGAAGAAACCCCGTGTGGTGCTGGCTCCTGAAGAGAAAGAAGCTCTGAAACGAGCATATCAGCAAAAGCCATACCCGTCACCAAAAACCATCGAAGAACTCGCCACCCAGCTCAACTTGAAAACCAGCACTGTCATCAACTGGTTCCACAATTACAGGTACGATCCGGCTCTCAGCCCAGGAAATCATGGCTCCGGGAGAACACGCTTCCAGCCCTTGGGCAGAGGTTGATCTGTACCACAGCCTGGCCATTAATGGCACACAAGAAGGATCTTCAGTGTGCCCCCTAGCCTACTGGGGTCTCAGAACTTGGTTAGTTCTCAGTAATTTGGCCAGTTAGGTGGTTTTTTTATGTTTATTGGCATTCTTAACTCCAAAGATATAGGGTCATATAGTTACAAACAGTCCACATCCATGACAAAGGAAAAATTTCCTCTAATATGTATCACTTAATAGGAAAGCGTAGGCATTCATGGTTCGATAGTAATGAATGTTCTTAAGTGATTTTTGCATGCTTTCTCTGGGTCATTTATGGTAATGTTTTCCAAATCAGTTTGATTGGTTTTGTAATTAAATTCAGTTGTGTAAAACCCTTTTTGGGGAGAAAGTTCATGAGTTAATGAAGATTCACTGAGCATCTACTAAACTTTCAGACACTGAGCCAACACTGTATCACTCCATCCTCATAACTATATGATGGATATAGTATTATCTGCATTTTACAGATGAAAAATATAAAACCAGAGCAAGAAAAGGCTAAGTGATCTCCTTTAAGAGCAAAGTAAACTGAGGTGACGTTTGATTAATAATAGATAGTGGAAATTCACTGAAAGATATGAGTAGTTGATCATAGCTGTAACGAAGACTTCCTACTGCTGGAAACCAAGGATTTCCAGTGGCCTGGTGGAAACTCTGCTTTTTTCTTTTCTTATAAGGGGGCATCTCAATTGTAAGTTCCCATCAGAACTTCATTTTCTATAGGGCTCAATAAAACTAGGGCCAGTACTCTATGCAGCTACTGTGGGCAGGGCTCTCACAGTTAAGTCAAACAAGTGGCAGGCAAGAGATCATAGCCAGTCAAGGGCTACCGCGAGGAGTTGTGTCTCTAACTGGGCCTGTGTCTGATAGGTTCTGCTGGAGTTTCCGAAGGAGCCTACTAAACCTCCCAGCTTCTGAATAAATTGGAAATTTTTTAAATTTAAGATGGGAGCCAAAATAGCATCTTTATTGCTGATAAAGGCTAAGTTAACAGATGTAGCTTAGTGTGAGAGCTGGATAGACCTGCTACCTCAGTGGTTGGCAAACTGTGACTCGCAAGCTGCAGTTTGCCGCTCTGTTGCCTGATGAGTTTGCTGACCACTGCTTAAGGTTTTACCCTTACCCAGAAATTTTGACTTCAGGTTAAAGACATTAGTACATTATTAAAAGGCTTTTTAAGTGTTTTTCCCTAAGGCAGTGATCGGCAAACTCATTAGACAACAGAGTGGCAAACTAAGGCTCGAGGCCACATGTGGCTCTCGAGCCACAGTTTGCCGACCACTGTGATACCTGACCCCTAGAACCTTATCCACAGAGATTCATACAAGGACTGGCACACAGTAGTACTCATGGCAGCACTGGATCCAGGCTAGCTCCAACGAGGACAAAGAATTTATAGGAACCGAGTACAAACAGCTTAATCATCCTAATTTACCAATCAGATAAAAACAGGTAACATGAGGCCTCCTCCCATATTCTACCCCAATAATGGAGATCCCTCTACATGGAAGGAAACTTTGACAGTAGTAAATAAGTGATGGGGAGAGAATGATTCAAAGTATGGGCAGAGGTTCACTGGAGCCTCTCCTTGCCAGGTGTTATGTCATCCCATTTCACTTTCTAGCCACAAAGGAGCATTTGAATATGCACTTTCAAGTCTTCAAGTTAGGTCCATTTTAATGCAAGTATTATAACTCTGGACAGCAGTGCATGAAGTTATAGATTACTGAGTATCTATTATAGTTAAAGGTGCTACTAATGACACAGAATATCTTCAAAACCATTTTCCCTGGTCCTATTGGGGCCACCTTTTCTCCAGATCTTGTTCAGGCCTCAGCTGAGTGTCAATCACTGCCTCCTGGACAGAGCACACACTCTCCAGCTTTCTCAACTGTCATCACTCAACTTGCTGGTCTCCTGACCTCCATGGTGGTCAACTGGTCATTGTGGAGATGCAAATTCAATTATACACCCTGGATAAAAATAGAGAAGAAAGAGAGAGGAAGAATAGCAATAACACCTCATGACTTAATAAATGAGCTCAGTTCTGGATCTAAAGTAGATGCTTCATAAATGCTTTCTTTCAAAAATAACTCATCAAAACAGGCAGAGTTATGGAAGAGCAAAGGGCAGAGATTAACTTTAGCTCCAGAGATCTGGAAAAATATCTGGGAGGTATGAGGTATACAGGGTCATGAAAGAAGAACAAGAATGTTATAAGCCATAAAATAGGCCACCTTACCACAGAGCTTCACACAAGGACTTGCACACAGTAGTACTCAGCACACATCACTGAATGTGTTTAATTCCTAAGCGAGAAAGCAGTTTCTTACATTCTTTCTGTGGGAGTTAAATAGCAGCATTGATTTTATTTTCTGCTACCCCTCCCCCCCGGAACCTTCAGGGAATACTGCTTGGATCAATTTTTGCCCCCATCCGAAAAATAAAACTTTACTTCCTCTTACCCTTTCACCCTAAGGAAATTAGAAGTATCTTAGAGTGACCACTTACCTAGGAATGCGACCAGGATTGCCAGAACAGCAAACCACAGAATGCCTGGTCTCCTGGAAGAGCAGGTCCCCCAGTAAAAACTTTCAAACCTAAAAGCCATGGTGGCCTGTGAACCTTGCATGACACACCTGACACACCTGTTCCTGGGACCTGGTCTTGCTAGACCAGAAGACAATCTTCCTCTTAGACATGGAGACAATTCTAGGCCAAGAAGGATGATATCTTATATCTGTTGAGCACAGAATATAGGGTGGGGCAATGATAAGTTTACAGTTGTTTGTGGGAAATAATACAGTAATTAATAAATAGTACAAATATCAACTTTGTTTCATGTATTCACAATTGTAAACCTACTTTTGCCCCACCCTGTATATGCCAAACACTGAGCCAAGAGCTTTATAAGTGTTATCTTATTAGACCCTCCAATCAGCAGTTGAGTGTAGTACTGCCAGCCCCGTTTTACAGAAAAAGGTTATACACACTGAGCTGGTGAGGATGGCAGCCTGGAACCCATGCCCCCAGGCATGAAGCTGCCCCTGCCCTCCCCTAGCCCATCTACCTTAGCCTTAGCACGTTCACATCTTCACATCCAGCTCAAAAAGGTTAAGGAAATTATCCAAGTTACACGGGTAGGAAGTGTCAAAGCCAGATTTTAAACCTAGGATTGTCAGTTCTAAAAAGCCTTTGCCCTGTGCTGGGCCAGCCTGCCCCTGAGACTCAAAGTTAGCATTTGGGCCTGTGACCTGGCTAGACTAAACCTTTAGCTGCCCTCCTAGCCTCCCACCTCCCCAACAAGGGAGGGTAGGATTAGGTGTTCACCCCAACTAGCATTTTCAGCTGCCAACAGGCTTTAAAGCCAGCAGGGCGGTTTGCCCTCCCAACACAGTGCCCAGGAACCTGTTGATAGGAACTGCCATTTCTCAGGCTCCCACGGAAGCCCCAGGGAAGGAGCAAAGTCTTCAGGACCTCACCCTACACCTCGGGCTCAGAAACCGTCTTCAGAACAAGAGTCAGAGCTCACCCTCTGCTGGGAACAAATAATGATGTAGCAGACTCACTGGACTGAAACTACAGCCAGATTCTCCTTGGCTCCAACACTTCCCACATCCAACACAGGACCTAACATATACTGAGGTCTCAAAAACATTACCTTTATTGAATTATATTTACTGCAGAAAATATTTTCCTGCATTCTTCATCCAAGGGCTTTCTGCAGGACACTGGACTTGGTCATTTACCTGAAGATCCTTTTCCACTAACGCTGGCTTTTTCAGCTCTTTGGAATACACTCCTAGAGAGATTTCTGATTGAGCCTAGTGCGGTCAGCATGATGGGAGGAGAACATCTGGCACAAAAAGGCTTACTAAGAGCCCTTCATGGTGTCTCCAAGGCCTTGGAAACAGAGACGACCAGGGCCCGTTATTTCCTTCAGATTCAACTACGTGCTGGAGCACATTCCCCACCGTCAGCTGCACGAGTAAAACATGCTTGAGGCACATCTTTGGGCTCCTTCCTGCTTGATCAAAGTGACCCTTCCCTGGTCTTCTCCTTTCAGAGGAGGAAATTAGTTGAAACATAATTTGATGGAATCCCACTTAAGCCTTGACCAGAGCCCCTGATGCTGACGGTTTCATTCTGGGCATTGTCCCATAATTGGTTCTCTCTCTTTCTCTTTCTCTCTCTCTCTCTCTCTCTCTCTCTCTCTCTCTCTCTCTCTCTCTCTCTCTCTCTCTCTCTCTCTCTCTCAGCCCTGAAGTCCTGTATGTCCATTTATTCCTGTAGACCAATAGGCACCATGCTAGGCCTAGGGTGTGCAGAGAGTAAATGGGAACTGGCCATTCCCCGCCGAGTTAGGGGTGGGGTGGGATGGAGCTGGAGATGCCATTAGATAAGTAACATTGGCGCTCCAGACTGGCAATGCCACCACGGGGCAGGACAGCTTATGCCAGGCACAGAGTTTGGGAAACAAGTGAGGGCTCTGCTCAGGCTCCAGGCCAGTCCTGGGGTCGGCAGTGACTGGCCACCGGGCAGCTGAGGAGCCCAGGCTCTGCCCTGCGCGCGGAGGGCCTTTGGGGCCGCAGGGCGACGTGTGGGGATGCGGAGAGCAGGGGGGCGGGTGGAGGGCCGTGTCCGCCTGTGCACAGCAGCTCACGGCGCCCTCCCTGCTTGTGTCTCGTAGGTCTCGGATCCGCAGAGAACTGTTCATTGAGGAGATCCAGGCCGGGAGCCAGGGCCAGGCCGGGGCCAGCGACTCCCCGTCGGCCCGCAGCAGCCGGCCGGCGCCCAGCTCCGAGGGCGACAGCTGTGACGGCGTGGAGGCCGCCGAGGGCCGGGGCGCCGCGGACGCGGAGGAGTCGGGCGGCCCCGCGGCCGCCACCAAGTCTCAGGGAGAGGCCGCCGCCCCGGAGGAGCGCGGAGAGGAGGCGCCGCGGCCCGCGGAGAAGCCGGAGCCGCCGCCCTCGGGGACCGCGGCCCCGCAGGACACCGACGAGGGCCGCCCCCGGGCACCACCGCCGCCCGAAGGCCCCGCGGACGGCCCGCGGCCCGTGCCAAACCCCGCGGCCGCCGCCGGGGAGGACGCCGCTACCTCAGCCGCCCCGGGGGAGCGCCCCGCCCGGGCCCGGGACGCCGCCCCCAGTTCCGCTTTGCCAAGCACCAGCGCGCCGGCCGCCCGCAGGCCCAGCTCGCTGCAGAGCCTGTTCGGCCTCCCCGAGGCGGCGGGCAGGGACTCGCGAGACAACCCCTTGAGGAAGAAGAAGGCCGCGAACTTGAACAGCATCATCCACCGCCTGGAGAAGGCCGCCAGCCGCGAGGAGCCCATCGAATGGGAGTTCTGAGGCGCTGCCGCCCGCCGCCCCCTGGCGGCCGCCGCTGGGAGCCGGGGCGGGCGGGCGGGGCGGGTACTGAGGCAGCGCCACCCCGCGGCCCGGACCGTGTAGCGCACTTACTGCCCTGCGGGCCACAGGGCAAAATCGCCATAGGCCAAGGTGCATATAGAAAACAAAGGAGCATTAAGCCCAATCTTTGTCGTGTTTTCAAGGAAGAAAACGGAAATGTGTAGTCGAGCTTTTTTGTACCCTGAAGTGTTTTTTTTATTGCCCTAAGTGATTTCCACAGGTTCTGGAATAACTCTTACAGCTTTGCCTTGCGCCCTCCTCTTTCGTGTGGGCTTTAAAAAAAAAAAAAAAAAATCAAACCCACATATTAAAAGGGGGCTTTTTATCTGCCATCTAATGGCTTCAGAGCGATAATACACTATTATCTTCTTAAACCAGGAAAGGGGGAGGGGGGATTTTTCAGAAAAATTAAAAAAGAAAGTTTTTGTAGCTGTTCAGTTGCCACTAAGAGATTGCACAGTCAAACCGACTCTAAACACACTAGTTTGGATTCCTAAATATTTTCAAGTAAAGAATCTTCTCGTTTGAAACTTTGAATTAAAATAAAACACATTTACTCCATATTTTTTAACAAAAAGAAAAGTCACATCAGGAAAATAACTGATTTTGTGGTAGCTGATATAGTGTTTTCTTGTACGTGAATAGAATCCTGACATGTAGTGCACATTGATCCATAGCTTTAACTGACTCTGGGCTTTTGCTGGCCAGGGTCTGTTTAATACACTCCATTCTAGGCCAAATCAGGACAAAAAGAAAAGATCCGAATCTAGGTATTTTATAATCTGCTTTTTAACCTCTAACCGCAGAGCACGCTGATCAGACCTCATATCTCGGAGGTTTAGGAGACAAGTTAGAACTGTAGCATGTACCCGTTCATTTCGTTTAATTTATGGTGTCTACGTCTGTGTTAGTGCGTCTGCACATCTGTGAGCATTTAAAGAAAGGAGGAAAGAGTAGGCCACTAAGGTTCTGGGGCCGAACGGCCCACCCCTCGTAGACAGCAGTCTTTCCTTGGCACAGAAGGCACCACACCTCACACCACTCTCCCAGGCGCCTGATGGACTGAGCCCCACCAGGGGACGCCGCTCCCTGGGCCTGGGCCTGGGCAGGGCTCTCGCGCGCACTCTCTCTCTCTCTCTCTCCCTTCCTTCCCACCACAAGCACTGATGACTGTTGAAGTCGTGGGAAGCTTCCTTCCCTGCAGAAGAGAGAACGTAGCAATCTGGGCTCTGCTCCCAACCCCGTAGAGATGGCCCAAACTGACACCAAAACGTAGATGCTCTTCACTTCCAGACCAGACCGTTGACCCTCCATTTTGCCTCTTGGAGCGTTCTTTTACGCAGTCTTTCACTTAGTCTTTTAGGGCAGTCTAAGTACAAATCAAAAGTCTAACTTGTCTCTGATTCCTCCTGTTGTCTATGTGTATATGCGTGAGAATAGAGGTGGATGAGAGTGTGCGTGTGTGCGTGTGTGCAATTTTATACGTCTGTGTATTTTCTTAAGTACCTGTGCACACATAGAGTGCATTACTGCCACCTTTCTTCAATAAGCTGTTTTATCAGTTATGGCTTCTACAAGTTTGCTAATTTAGACTCCTTTATTGCCATATCTTTAAACTAACAATAGATGATTTCGGTATATATATATTTTTTTTGCTTATTTATAGGTGCTGTATTTTATTATCTGATTGTTAGGAAGGGATGAAAGGGGCAAATATTCTTTAGAGGGATAGACTGCCGGCAGTATTGGGTATAATTTACAAGATGTAGTTGTCATACTGTATATTACTGATTGAAAACTTTTTGACCGTATTGTGTATCATTGAAACCTTTGTCTTAGGTCAACATCTTTGGATGACATTTTAATGGTGCATTCATTATTTCTTAAGTTTAATTAATATTATCTTTTTTTTTGATTTGGGGGTGGGAGGGAGTTATAATTTTAGAGGTATGCTCCCGCTATTACACCTCAGTGTGCTTGTATTAATTAACTTGTAGGACTTTGACTGTAAGATGTGAAACCACATTTCTTGCATGTTTTAGAAATTATATATTTCATTTACAGTCTTTTAACCTGCAGCTGCAGCACTTAGTTCAAGTTTTCACAAATTTAAGAGTCACTACACTAAAGACAATGCCTTTTCATGAATAAGAAGTTTTCAGAAGGCTCTCGGAGGCTGTGAGGCAGGCCATTTGTCTTTTGATAGTTGCATCATCTCTGAACTTGAAATCTGGTTCAGTGAGAAGAGAATTCAAAATGGAGGAGCTTAAGGGGAAATAGATTAACATCTGGCTCAATTCAGGTGCATTAAGAAGAGCACATCTGCATTAGTGACCCTTAGGACAGTGAGTAGCAGAGCCCCTGACAGTACTGTGGTGTCCTCTCCACAAAAACCTTGAGGGAATTTTGTCATCATGTGATGTGTGATGAATCACTAAATATCTGATTTTCATCAGAATCAAAAGCAGGGAGCTAACAGGAAATATTAGGGTAGAGTTAATTTTAAAGGCATGACTGTTCTATACGGAGGTATTAAATCTGAAGAAATTGAAAAATTGTAAATTTGTTCATTCTTGTGGCCAAAAAGTAACAGTCTAAAACAGCCATTTTGGCTCTTCCAAGCAATTTAGTCGTTTTTGTTGTTGTGTTTTTTGTGGGATTTTTTTTTTTTAAAGTAGGTTATTGTTTATTTCCATTCTGTCTTTTTTTGCCAGACTTACATCTGGGTGCTTGATACAATCAGTTGGTTAAATTTTGCTTGCAGTTCTGTATTTGTATTTTTTTTTCCTTTATTTATTGTTTCCATTGCCATCCCAACCCTATGCTCTTTTGTGTTTAAGCTATCACCGCCTGTAATTCTCCTAAGAGCTGCCACTAAGTAACAGAAACCTGTCAGCACAGAAAGTGTCCCCCTCCTCACTGCGCCCCTCATTTTGAGTCTAAGGGTTGATCTTTCATCTTGATAAGCAATATTCAAGTGCCTTGAACAGCATCTTCTCCGTGGGGTTTCACCTTCAGCTGGCTGGCGTTCCAAGCAGTGGCTCCCACAGGCAGCTGACCTCCTCTTTACGCTCCATCAGTTTAAAAAGCTGATTTGTACCTCTCCCCTGGGGAAAACGGTTCCATGCAAAACACTAACACTTCATTACAAGCTCCATTATACCATTTTAAATGGCTTCTTTTTGTTAATTGGAGGCAGCGTTCATAACTTAAGGTTTCTGCCATTACTTAGCTGGCTAAGTGGAGGCTCGGCGTAAAATCAGTGTTCGCGTCGGCCTTGCCCCTGGTTCCCGCCCGTGCTCTCCCGTGGTGTCTGAGGTGCAGGGTGTGTGCGTTCTGGCCTGGACTCGTCCACCGCCCAGCTCCCAAGTGACTTCCCTTGAACCTCCAGATCAGTCAGGATGTCTATGATTTCTGTCCACCAGACCGCTTTTCTTGAGAAAGAATAACCACAGCCAATTAGCTCAATTTAATTATTCTCAGAGCTGACCTGCCTGAGGAACATCACACCCCGAGGTGGCTCGTGGTCAGCACACTGCCCCGGGATGCAGGCTTGGCAGAAGTCTCCAGGAAATGCCAGGATCTTGACTCGTATGACTACTCTCAGACCCTGGGCATTGTATCTGGGAAAGTGGCTGAGGCAAGAAGGTAACCATTGATGGCCTCCCTGTACTTCCAGTGCACAAGTGCCTCCCTGCCCGGTTTCCTTCCTGATGGCATCTTTGCTTTCTCCCCATTTAAAATCCATCCTGTCCCATGTGGACGTCCAGGTCTCCTGGTTGGTGGTCCAGACCCAGAGGGCTACGGAGCTCTGGGTTAATTTCCTCTGTGCACGAGAGTCCCCCACCCCGGGTCCTGCTGGCGAGCTCCAGGAGGAAGGGAACGCCCCGCCTGCCTCCTCAGCCAGGGCACATGGGTCAAGAGCAAACCTAGCAGCAGGCAGGTTGTGCTTTGATCCACGGGAGCGCCCCAGTGCCGCTGACTCCCCTACAATCAGGCAGCAGTCACACTCTGAGAGACTAGAGTAAGAATCCCCCGGCATCCCGGGCTTCCCGGCTGACATTTCTCTTTCCTGAACTCATGTTCTTTCGTGCAGGAGTCATCAGTGAGCTCTATTGACGTTCTATGCAATGGTTTTCATTCCTCTGATTTTAGAAAGACAGACCTTACTGAAATAGCAGAGGAGCAGGGGGAGTATGTGCAGATCCTGGGTGAGCACGACGTGGAACAGTGATAGTGACACAGGAGAGCGGGCGCTGGGGGACTACAGCCTTTACCTTAAATGCACTATGACAGCCGCCTCTCAGTGGGCCCGTAGAAACAAGAGTCTGCTTGTGGCTCTCCCAAACCCCTGCTTTTGGAGGCCAGAAAGTCGGCTGTGAGGGGAGGTGTAACCAGGCAAGGTCCTGGCATGGGGTGGGCTGTTTGCCGCATCCCTTCAGGCCGGAGGTTTGGCTCCTTCCCTGGATGCCCTCACGTACCCCCGTCTACCTCACTAGCCTGTGCTCCCGTTTGACATCACTCCTCACCCACACCCCTCGGAACCGTGCAGCAAGTGGGCTGGGGGCAGAGAAAAAGGCTGGGAGGGTGGCATCCAGGATCTAGGCCTGGTGGGCAAGCATCTTCTCTCTCTCTCTTGTGAGCACAACATGTAGGCAGCTGTGCTCTGTGAGGCACATGGATTTTCCTCTTGACTTCCACCTGTTCTTAAAGATCTGTCAGCTGTTTCCTTGGCAGGCAGGGACAGTCTCAGGCCTCAAAGGGCCTTGTCTTTGGCCTGCCTTTTCTTTCTGCCCATTTCTGCTCAGCTGTTACAATCCATCACAGTCATTCTCCTTGCCCTGGGCTGCCCCTACATGGCCACATGAGGACACTTCCCTGGGGTCCCTACCTGGCCTTGGGGAACTCTGTCTTTATTCTCTCTGGCTCTGGGAGGTTAG